AGAGTTCTATTAGATCAGTGTCTCTGCCAAAACTAAAGAAGCTACCCTGACAGAAAAAACCCAAACGTCAGAGCTATAGAGGGTACATTTATTATAAACACACAGTTTATGCACTGCAGACACTTGTTGAAGTCAGCTTACACCAAGCAGCGGAAGATTAAAGAACAGACTTAAATCAACAAAGTACGGCCTATAAACAGAAACCAGATACAAATGTTACAGTTACCGACGAGACTCAAATAAAGGAAATAAATGAAACTTAACATTAAGTTTCATAGTTAGAGAGACTGTTCTGATTTGACCAAAAATGAACATGAGACCTGACTGGGGTCATGCCTGCACTTAAAATACCATCAAATATTAATGTGACCTTTGTTTTTATTTTCTTTTTCCTGAGGGAATACTTGTTTTTCAGACAACAGCAAGGTGGGCATAAAAAAAGAGATGGGTTCACCATAGAGAAGGAGGTTATGATGATGTATTTGAATATTTAACTCGAAATCTGGACACGCTCATTCACTTTTAAAGTCTTGATTTTCTTTAAAGACTGGAAGGTATCAGTCAGCAGCCTCTTCTATTTTGTCTCATTACACTCTCAGACGTTACGTTCTGGATTAACAAACACTGTCTGCTGGGCGAGGTTAAGTTCCCTATAAAGCTCGTAGGAAGCTGCTTTCAAATAACTAATTTTGTCTGAAGGGTTTGGTCAAATGCTTACTGTTTGGCTTCAAAGTGGGTGCAGTAATCCTGAAAGGGCCAAAACAAAATGATTTAGCCTGGAGAAGCTGAAAGAAGGCCGTGCTGAACCGAGCCATCTGCTCTGATAAATATATAAATAATCAGCTGCAGCTCATCAGAGCAGATTTGGGCTCAGCGCAATATGGCCTCAATGTGGCCTCCTGTCAAATTATGAACTCTGCATTGCACATTTTAAGCTCCTGACACTGGCAGACTGTTAGTATAAGAAACTGTAGGCAAAGTCAGGGAAATGTATTTAATAATGAAAGTTTTCTGTAACCAATAACTTTTGCAGAGGAAGGCAGCCAAGTTCTCGGTTTTCAACAACAATAAGACTATTTTTTATTAATTTCTCTCAAATCTAATCTTTAAAAAGCAGAATACAGAATATTGAACTGGATAGAATGCAATGTTTGCTTTGGTGCTGAATTTAATAATATTATGCTAATAATCACATATGGAAGGAAAGAAGCCAATAGCAAACAGACAGTTCCTATAATATTACTGCAGCTATTATAATCCTGTTTTATACTATTTGAATATATCTGCTCCAAAAAAAATGGGCAAAATCGAATCCTAACACAATATTAATAAGTAATAATGTCTGGCTTTCAAAAAACAAACAACAAAAATCAACTAGTCTTTTTGTAAATAAGATGCTGTGTAGGTTCGTGATACTCTGGTGGAAAATTGCCTTGGTAACCCCCACCAAAAAAAGGGTACACAAAATCACTACCAGATGTACATTCATGGGCCAGACTATGGCACCTTCACATCACAACCCACGAGCAAGATGCAGGTAATAGCAGGCAAGTGGAAAAGATTACACAAACTCGAGTGCAGCCATTGGCAGAACAGCCGACTATATCAAAACTGTGATGTGTATACGTGCTATCAGACACGATTATCGAGAGAAATAATGACGTTAATAATAACACTGGAGACTTGAGTTAAATAGTCGTCAGTGTCACATCATTCGCCGTCTCTTGACCAGCAGACCAGCTTCTACCACGCTCAGCAGAGCCAAATAATGCTAGGAGAGGCTAGTGAGTAGGCAAGGTCGGCCACTGGCTGCTTCCCAGGAGCTCGTTGTGCTCGGCCTCCAGGCCTGGTGAGTGCAAAAGTACCCAGTGTTTGGCTTTTGATAGGTTCTAACCATTGATCTGCAACTGGCTTCCAGCTCTAATGAATAATGAATGCCCATATTGTCATCCCACACAGATCGCATTTCACATGGAAACAGACTACACTGGTAATTAGACAGGACTTTGCTGGCCTGCAGCTTTCTATGCTGAACTTGCCAGGGATTGTGGTGTGGAGAGAGAGAGAGGTACTGCTGAGGTAAAATTTCAAGGGCATTTTATAAGTTTCGAACAGCATCTTCCATATTTTTCAATTCAGATATGAAGTTTACATGCCGAACTATTTCTTTAACAGAAACTGTTAAGAGGAGAAGCCTGACAGAAGTCAGGACATGGGTCTCCTGTGTGGTGTTGGGTCTGGGGGAACAATAAGACGTCGGTCGCCATGCTCTATTTGACCCAGAAACTGAAAGAGGAAAGCTGTTAGACTGGTGACATCAGTGTTGATACAGACTACGGAAACTTGGAAAGCTGTCATGTTGCTGATGAACAAAGTGAAGTGAACAGTGATGGGTGAAGACCATGAGCAAAATGTGTGATCTCACAATCACAGCCTACAACTGAAGAACAGAACCTTTATTCCAAGCATTTTAGTTCCCAGTGCAGGATAACGAGTACGTATTTTACAGCCTCGTGTCACCAGATAAGAGCTAGAAAGTGTATCTGACATTAAAGTAGCTGTATGAGCAGCAATGGTTACACCTCTTAATTGTGTAAAAGAAACTTTCCTTTCAACAAAGCAGCAATATTTTTGTATTACACACCTAACACAATGTACAAATGTATATTAATCCGACCTTATTTTGCACTTCTGCTATCAGACCAACAAATATCCAAAAATTCCTATTGTTGAATTCTATTCATTTCCTTTTTCAATATTTATTTAAATACTTTTACAAAGCTTTGTTTGAGTTTTAGTCACAAGATAAAAACAACTTTACATTCCACAAAAAATAAGACTGCTCTGTAGTGGGCAGCCTGAACGTGGGCAGGTACCTGTACCAATCCAACTAGAAGGATAACTAGCAGAGCTAGTTCTTATACTCCATACCATTTCTGCTTTATCTGAAGAATCACAAGTTATAATGAGAGGAACCAAAGTCCTTCCTCCTCAGGGGGCTCTACAAGATGCTGAGTTCCTAACTTCACTTTTCAAAATAAATAAGTAAACAAATAAAATTTTGCCATAATGTTGATTTTTTTTAAAAATGGAAAATGCTTAAAATGAAACAGGCTACTGTGGAAGATTTAGCAGCTGCCTGAGATTTGTCCAAATTAAAGGAGAAGTGTCTATAAGATGCTCCTGAAAGGGTCTTATTTAGTCAGCATCATCATCAATACCAATTTATCAAATATTAGGACATGAAGGATGAAAATGGCTTTTTTGCTGTTGTTGTTATTTACTTCCTCTATTCTGCCATGAAAACCAAAAATGTTAATTCTAAAAAAACAAACAAAATTTGAACATTTGATCTGAAATAAGATTTAAAAATCTAAAAAGAAACTTTCAGATTTGATCAGTATTTTCCACAGAATTAGCCACTTGCTAAATAAATGAGAAAATAAACAGGTGAATTCTTACAAAACAAACAAAAAAAGAAACAAACAAAACAGCCTTAAAATGTTTAACCATAAACAAATAGATGTTAAACCATCGACGTATATCTAGCGTATCCTTTAGAAGGCTATCACAAGAAACATGTTCATCTCTGAATGCTAATTAAAAATGACAATCAAATGCAAATAACACACATGTCAATATATCAAACTTGCAATCAGGTGTCGTGCTTTACCAAATGATTTGATAGTATTTTAGCTACACGCTGAGAAAAACTGCAATATAACAAATGGCTGATAGCCTGCGCTAAAAAGCTGCGAATGGAGGTGTTATCAAACAAGTGTGAGTTCAAGACTCGCTAATGCCTAATTTCCTGCACAAGGTTTTCACCCAGGCATTTAATACATAATCCTATTACCATCCAATATCATGAGTTTTTGGCTACCCTCTAAACACGGTCTTTTTCACTGGCCAGTGTGTTAGTGGGATAATGTCACTATCAATAAAATTAAGCCCGGACAAAGCACCCATCAAGTCGGAGGGTTTAGACACTTTCTCTTTCTACAGTTACTGGAAGTTGGTTTAACCCCAGACTCTGTGTACAAGAGGAACTGAGTCACTTCTGATTCAAGGATGTGTCTGTGTAGTCTTCAGTGTGACTGCATCAGGGCAGAAAGCCCTGTTCTCATGAAAGTCATGACAGTGGTAAGTTCACACCGAACGAACTAACAGACAGAAGCTGTTTCCACAAATGAAGTGACAAATAAAAACAAATTCATGTATATTTCATGATTTCATGGCTCATGACTTTGTCATTAAGGCCCTTTTAAAGGAAAAAAGTTAGCAATAGTGGCTTACACTTAAGGAAAGCAAGCTTATGACTGGAAGCTGACTGGTTAAGTTGGCTTATACACGGCCTGTAATAATAACAACCCCCAACTACATGAGCGACGCTGTTCAATGGCCCACAAAAAAGGCATCGCCTGGATGTGACTGGTTATAACAGATGTCAGATATTGTTAAAATATAGCACATATTTGTAACAATGAACACATTATATAGAGAAACTGACTAATGCCTCGGGGCTTCCTATTTCTCTCTGACCAGTCCTCAGGATGAGCAAGCGTAAGCTATACCAGAAGCAAACCCATCAAGATAAAGATCTTGATTGCACCCAGAATGGATCATGGATACATTAACACAATAGTATCACAAAAAGAGACAACATGTGTGTGAAATAGTGACATTTGCTTTCAGGTTAGTGCAGTTATTCAGTTAGATTAAGTGAAAATCACAAAAAAAGACTTAGAATTTGCAAATCTAACCATGAAAAGAATCCCAGATACACTCCTTGTAGCGTTCTTAATCTGAAATAAACATTAACGTGTGCCGATTCGATTTTTATTTGCAACTTGAACTCAATTGGAATATTATTTCTAAATGCTGTTCTTCAAAGCTACCTGAATGTTGGACACGATATTGATCCGTGCCACTGATGTAACACAAGGTACTTAGTGGATCATGTTGTGTGAGTCAGCAAAAAAAGAAAAGTGTTCTCTTACCTGCCCCAGGTAAGTCAGCTGCGATCACTATTAACAACACCGTTACCACCAGAAGCGCAGCACGCTGGCTGTGGGTGTGCATGAGAGCTTTGGGCATCACCACCAAACACACAGTGGAGACTAAACCTGCCATGGTACGGTGGGTGTCGAGTCAAGGCATGTCATCCGGTTAAGGAGAGAAGATTCACTCCAAAAAGACAATCACAGGTTAGGTTTTTGCAAGCGCCTTAGTTTGCTCTTCTTCAGTTTAAGGCCCCTTATTCCATCACATGTCTTTGTAGTGGAGAAAAACTGTTGAAAAGAAGCAACAGTGAGACATTTAAAAACAGCCTGCTTGAGTATCACTGCGTTAACTTAAGAATCCCCCAGTAAGCTGAAGAACAAGTGAAAACTACTTAAATCATTTCAAACCTGCAATTTTCGGGTAACATTAATAACAGATATCATTGGATGATTGGAGCAACACATTTTCTTTTATCCATGCCCTGGATCGCTGATAAAAAGTGAGTATTTCCCTTATTTATCCTGCAGTTTTCACACTCATGGCCAAATTGGTCGTGAAAACAGCGACTATTATCCCATCAGATAAACAAAACAAAGCAACTTACTCCATATAAGGGGAACAAATCTGTAAGGAGGTCAAAAAGGCAAAAGACGATCCAGCACAGACCTCATCCCTCGGATGTATGGCTAGCTTTAAGACGCTCTCACAGCGGGTCTTATCATGATACAGTAGTCTCTTGTCCTACATCCCGTCCCGTTACTTGCAAGCTTAATGGTCATGTGGCTTTTCATTTAGCTAGACAAAGCAGGTTCCATCCCTCGTTTGAGTCTGACAGGAAAACGCTAAACGCTGCCTAGCCAAAATAATTTGATGATATATCCCAAAGCTTGCGCTCAGTGCATACATAAAGCGATTTTTCCTTCTCAATTCGCCCCCTGCCATTCCTGTAAGCCAGCTCATAGCTGCGCACACAGACTTACCAAGAAAGGGAGCTCCAACTCTATCAGTTCCTTTGTGAGCGTGAGGAGAGGATATCCTTGGATGAAATGCTGTGTGGAGCTTTGTCATTAACGTCCTCGTGCCCACCTGCACGTGCCTTTGAAGTTTTTGCAGTGTATACGTGGTGTGCACGAACTGGCGACTGGCTTTCATCTGACACTCTTTTGGTAACAGTTACCTTCTCTCGTCCCGAGGATTGGGATAGCCCCGCCCTCTGACAGATCTGATTAGTTTCTAATTTGCTAAGGCGTATTCCCATTGGTTCAGCCTCTTTTCTGTCACGGTGGCCTTTTAAACATTAGGTTGGTCTTCGTCAGGAGGCGTCTGCGGCTTCCACGGCAACCTCACGCATTGATGCACTCACCCCAAGGTATAGCTATTATATTTTTATTGGCTGTATAGAGTTGACCTTCTTCCGCTACTGAGTTCAAACGAAAAATATTCTATTACCCTAATATATAAATATATGCAGAACAGTTAACATTACATTTACAAGCCTGAGTCTTATCTTTATGGTGGTGAGACTTTAAAGGATGTGGGATCAAACAATTAATTCGTTTGTTTCTGTTGCTATTTAACACATTTCTGAAAACAAGTTAATGCTCTATGTAAAGATAAATTAAATATCCTTCTGGCAAAGACAGGGCCCAGTGGTGCAGCGTGTAAACGTTGCCCATTGCAGAGTTTTGTGGTTGCAAATAAAAGGAGATGATTAGCATACCTGATCACGTCAGCGCAAGTTTCTAAGTGAACATCATGGCGAACACCGCCACCTGGTGATGGTGTTGTGTGTAGCCAATGCTGCCGATGTTAAAGCAGTTTCTTTTTACTTATTTCTCTCTGACTCTTGCTGTGGTCAGTGGATGAAAATGTCGTGAAAAACCCAACGTGACGTAGTAGCATTATGGTGTTTTAATCTCCATAAAATGTATGCGTGTAGCTAATGAGCAAAATAAAGTAGTTTAAATGGTTAAAAGGTGAGACTTCATTGTTTTCAGAGAATACTAAGACCTACATTATACTACCACATTGATATAACAGCTGTAGCTTGTGTGCAGATTCAAAAATGTGTAAATTTATGATGACCTTACACATTATATGGTATAAAATGGGCTCTGCCTGAACCATTTACAACTGTGAAATAAAATAAGGCAAGAAATAAAAAAATCTCTTTTATATGTTTTTTACAGGCTTCCAATTTTGTATATATTGCATGACATGAAATGTTTCTTTCAAACTTGTGCATAAAATGTTGATTTAATTGTAATACACAATAAGCCATGCCCAGACATTTTAATTAATTAATTCTAGATCACACACTGCAGTCAAACTGCACTTAATTCTGAGGTTTTGCAAGAGACAGTATGCTGGGTGCAAAGAATGAGCCTAACTCATGCACACACATATACCCCACAGTAGACAACAGGAGACCGATGCTGTGACTTAACAGTTTAATGTAAATCCAAGACAAAGTGTGATTACATTTCTACACATATACAATATGCATATGTGAGCATACAAATTCTCATTAATAACTCGATTCACCTCGGAGACCGAAAAAATGATCAAAAGTAACAGTGAATAACAAGCTATAACATAGTTCACCACAACGGGAGCCCCTTGTCACCCTACAGTTAGTAAAGAGGACAATTAAAATAACTATATTCTTCTATTTGACGAAGCTGTTTGTCTGTTAAAATCCTCCTGTAAAATTTACAATGCTATCATTAGTTTTTTCGAAGCCTAATATAAATTCACTCCATTTTTCTACAACGAAAATGATTAAGAGAAGCACACGACATCATAATGGTAACACAAGCGCTTAGTAGCAAGTACTCAACTTGTTAGGAGGTTTAATTAATCCTTTTTCTTATTGTCATTATTATATTTATTTAAACATTCTATAAAGCCAGTAAAATATCCATTCTCATAACATACTTAATATTAGGCTAAGGAACAGGGTATACATTGAACGCTACGTCAACAGATTGAAATAATGAGACATCACACCCCAATAAACCAAAGTAAATAAGAAAAGACAATAAACAGAGAAGTATACTAGGAAATACTGCAGCACACATTAGCTTCATCGACAAAGAATGAGATTTTACACCATTGATAAACCATACAGCAATGGACACAAAAGGGGGTCAGGGTTTGACGCGCTCTTAGGTCTTTAGAAAATGTTAACAAACTGAATTATCGCCTTCTTTGTGCGAGTAGTTATTTAAAACTACTATAACTTGATTATTATAATTTGATTATACCGAGGATCCCAAAAGAGACTGTGATCCTAAGATTAAGACAAACAAGGAAATCCATCTTTGAATGTAGTAGCTTTGGTCTACCAAGTATTCCGGTAAAATAACCCAAATGTTTAAAGTTCTTCAATGTGGAGCCCAACATCTCATAAGATTGCAGATTGGGGTAATCGGCTGGTGCAGATCAAATGAATTTGAACTCAGTACGTAAAGAAATCACTTTTAAGTTTCAATAACTTGACGCCAGTGTCAGTGACGGCATCAAACCTTGACCACCTTACCCTGAATTCCCCCAAAGAATAGCCAGCAAAAGGAGCAGATCCCCTTAACAAATATATATTAAAAACCAAAAAATAAAACAAAACAACAACAAAAACATACAAAAGGGCTTCAAGAATGCTCGTGTAACTAGATTATGAATTTCCTGGTGACAGAATAGTTCATCAGCACGTGATTTATCCACCTAACACCTGTCCTTAAACTCCTTTGTACTTTGGGAAGCAGCTGTGACTTTGCCAAATGACGTACAAGCGTGTGATTTGACGTTGCAGGTTGCTTGTTCGCTTACTAAGCTTCGAGCCAGCTTGGAGGAGTTTGTTCGAAGAAGACTAATGTAGCACTGCGTGCGCCGCGCTCGCGGGAATGTTTCTCAGTGTTTCCAAAGCTCCGGGACGACGAGTATGTGAGATGACACCGTGGGCAAAAGTGGAAGTTTGAGTGTATCTCAGGAGAATGCCAGGCTTCATAAAGAGAGAGAGAAAGATGCTGCCTTATGTTTTCTCTAATTTAAACGTCACCTTAAAGCTTTGGAGGTATTATTGGTTATTTGGAAGGCAGTACTTAAGAATAAAGTTGTTGCTGGGAAGGCTACACTCACCACAGCAACAGAAAACATTTTTATACTCTACTTAAGCACATTTTGGTAATTGTAAGGTCACTCGATCTACATTAATGCTCATATTCTTATTCCCCTCTTTTTTCATAGAAAACACAAAACATTGGTTAAGTGAAACTGAACGATAGACAAATGTTTCGTACACATCAAGTTATTTTTCACCGTGTTTGTTTGATTTGAGAAAATAGCGATTCTTCAATATCCCCAACTCGCGATACCGGTAACTTTACATAATTAGTCTCATGTGGGAGCTCGCTGGAGAACAAATGTTTAGTTATTGCATCATGCATGGCCACAAATGGTGTCGAAATGAAACTAATGGTCACCCACGGAGAAAGATCTAAAGCCATTCCTGCCACTTCCTTTCACTCACAGGTCACATATTACATTCATTTTGTGCAGGTGACCACGCTTTTAAAGGTATACTTGGTATATTTTTGATTATTTCCATAATAATTAACGGGCCATTCTCCTCAATGGCAACCTTTAAAATTAATTTTCTTACACTGCTAATAAAGCTACAACATCAACAACAGAAAAATTGATCATTTTAGACAATTATTGATTTAATCTAAACAGGGGCCAAATATGAGGAAAAATCAAAGTAAAACATTAAAAAAACAAAAGCTTTCAAACACATTGCAGCTCTTCTAATGGTTAAATGTCCAGAAACAAATAGCTGTGCTGTTTGCAAGAAGTATGCCAAATCCTCCCCGTGCATTCGTACGTTGTACACACATATACATTTCATGGTGGTGAAACAACATGTCCTCAAAAGCACTTGTAAAGCATTTAAAGATGAGACCAGAAGTTATTGCCTGTCTGCAATGCTGTGGAGGATTGCTTGTACTGTGCTGTGCTGTACATGATCGATCTGTAAAAGTCTTTGGTGGGACAAGCAAAAGAGTCAGAGTGTGTCAACATTAGCCCCATCCTGAAAAGAGTGGGGGAGTGGGGTCTGGACAGCAGTGTAGCGTGGGTAATGCCAAATTCCCTCAAAACAGTGGAATGTTTCAGTAGTTTGTGTCATAACAGAGGAGCTAAAAGACTTCCATGGAAAATCACTTCCCTTATGTGTGTGTGTGTGCGCTAAGGCCCCAATGACCCAGAGGAAATTAAGTAGGTAAAATAATATCAAATAAAAAGACAACGAACGACGTAACCAGCAACATACTATGTAATCACATCTTTAAGCGCCTGGACCCGAGGCTTGCATGCTGGAGCTGATGGGGAGGGGAGAGCTTTGAGGAAAGTACCGGGATAAAAGACCACTCTGGGGCCCATCGGGGGACCGCTGGATTTCAAACCTGGGTGTGGCATCCTCAAGACGAGCACGTATCGATAAGGGCCCCCAGTGGATCATCGTCAACTCAACACTTATCATCTTCGGCAGTGTTGCAACACTTTACACAGGTGCAACCACCTCAACAAAATACTAAATATCACTGTACATCAACCCCCAGGTTATAAAACAGAAATGAGCCTGACATATAATAAAAACACACACACGCACGCACACGCTCTGATAAAACATCAACAAGAATTATTGCAACAATCTCTAAAAATAAACACATGTACTACAGCCATGTCAAAAAGTTCAAGATGATGTTGAAAAAAAATCACTTCAAATGCAAGTACTATGGCATACCATGAAGGAGAGGGGAAGGCTTTCACTAAATCACCAGCAGTTCTGATGCGCCCACGTTCGAGAGGACAAAGAAGATTCATTATTATTAGCTACAAGAAATTGAAATCTATTAAATCAAGCAGCAAACACACAAAGCGACAGCCCTATTGGTTCTCTAAGTGTTCGGGTATCCTGTCTGGCTGGCATGGCGGTGTCTGTGGTGAACCTGGTTCGAAGACAAATGGACAGCGATGACAAACCATCCACAATGTGCCCTTCCAGGTGTATGCTGTGACATTTCCCTTCTGTTCCCTTCAAAACATCCGTGAATCAACTTCCAATTATCTTTGCTGCAGAAACAAACAACAAGAGGAACAAATGAAAAGAACAAAAAAAGGATTAA